GGATTTTTAGTTCCTTAATTCTGAATTTTTAATTCATTGAGCCTGGAATCGAAATTGATTTTTTTTTTTTTAAATGGACACACATTTTTATCAAAACAATGTCATTTTTGCATTCGTGTGCACCATACACTGCATAATTTGCCTGCCTAAAGGGGTCAGTATACATATTATTATTATTTGATTTTAAAATTTTGATAGATAAACCGCATATTCGTCTTTGATTCCTTCTCACCCTAGCTACATTCTACAAGAGCACACCCCACCCGACTACCCATTGACGTCCCACCATCTACAACTAATTGCAACAATTGGATTGCTACACTCCATTGAAGCCAATAAGGAAAGTTAATGCCGCGAACTTAGCTCACTGATTTAGTATTTCAGTATACAATATTTGAGAAAAGATATTAAAGTTCGAACTTTGATAATGATCTTGTGAGAATTATGTTCAAAATGGACAGATACCTTGTCGGCATACTCTATCGGGTTGGAAATATAATTTTTTGAGAGAAGAAAAATCACAGTGTGTGATCTTATACATTAGGAGTTCATAGAGTAATTTAATTAAGATTCTCAAAACAAAGTCCATATATAATTACGTATATTGTACTTGTTTATCATATCCATTTTGTTCATCATGTACACTTATCCTAAACCTTCTCCTTTCTTATAAAATATATGCAAATCTTATTCATTCAAACTATATTAAATACTATTTTAAAATTTTTAATAGATATTAAAAGAAAATATTCGATCTTTCCAGAGAACAAGCAAGAAAGACAAATTGGATTTTAGTAGTAATGATATGCCCTTATGGCCTTATCCACCATTCACAACTGTCAGTCATATCTCTAGCGCCTTCTTTCCAAAACCTGCTTTGCTGTATCAACAGTGATGGCTGTTTAAATTGCCTGGAAAATATCATTTTCTGTTCAAAATATTATTTTTATTTTTATGCCACTATTCTTATCTCATTATAAGAATTTAATTTAAATGTTAAACATTTACATGGAATATATTTCTAACTACCATAAATTATGATGAATTAATTAAATTAAAAATGCCATTTTCTTCCTTGTGCCATAATACTCATTAGATTAAGCCATAGTTATCAATTATTGTTGGCCATCACTGAATATATATATATATATATATATATATATATATATATATATATATATATATATGCGCAGGAGAGAAATACGAATGCATGCCAATCATCCACGTGTCCAGATCAACGAATTAAATGAAATTTTAAAAAAATGACGCAGTAGCATTTTTGTAAATAACTCGAACTTTGGTGCAAGTAAATGTGTAATAAGTGCAAGTAGCGGGTGCACCTTTACAAGTAAAAGGTGCAAGTAAAATCACTTACAAGTGCACATATTTTCACTTACAAGTGCAAATAATTTACCTTGTTAATATTTGTGCACCTAGGTGCAACTAATTATAACGTTAGGTGCACTTAGTATTGATGCACAGTGTAAATTTTACTTGCACCTATAAAACATTTTACATGCACTTGTAATACATTTTACTTGCACTTAGGTGCACTATATGAAACTGCTACTTACACTTGTAAATGTGTTATATGTTTGCAAGTAAAAAGTGCAGGTAAAATCACTTACAAGTCATCTACAAGTGCATGTAATTTTGCCTTGTTAACATAATAACATTCATTCATCTGAGTTCATTCTGTTTTGCATGACTTTTGTTCTTGCTCGGGAGTTCAACAGGTAATTAGTACTCGTGAAAACCACCCGCAAACATACATGCACCCATGTGCCGCACCTACTTATAACTATAGGTACACATACTTATAACTATAAGTGCACTTATATCTGGACACGTGATGCGCGCTGGATCATTTACAGTTCGCTCCTGGGCGGGCCATTCACACCTGAACGTGATTATATATATATATATATATATATATATATATATATATATATATATATATATATATATATAATACAATACAATACTTAGTTAAATTATGATTAATATCAAATTGGCCGCATAGGCTTAGCTCAATAGTTCAATAGGCAGTATTTGGGAGAATAGATCAAGGTTCATTTTACAAAGGGATTTAACACTTACGCCATTTAGAAGACAAAAAATATTATACCACAATAATACTTGGACCAAAAAGAATGTTTTGAAAACAAAAAAAAAAAAAAAAAAAAAAGATTAACACAAACTGAGACCTATAAATTTAGGACAAAAAATAGAATTATATAAAAGATTCTTCAAATTAAATTATTGCATTTGGGACCGGACACAAAGAAAGCAATAATATAATTGAGAAAATAATATGAAATATTGAACCGGAAACTGGCTATGGCAGTGGAAGGAAGGCATGGGATTGCGATATAAGTAGATGAAGTGATGAGTGCATGTGATGAGGAAACCAGGCCAGTACACTGATCTGATATTAACCCTTCACTTCCGATCCATTTTCATCCTTTGATCTTCACCTTCAATTCATTCATACCACGATGCCGGTTAGACAGATAGCCATCGGGAGGCCGGCGGAGGCGACTCACCCCGACGCCTTGAAGGCGGCGTTGGCCGAGTTCTTCTCAACCCTAATCTTCGTGTTCGCAGGTGAAGGCTCAGGGATGGCCTTCGCCAAGCTCACCGGAGGCGGCCCAAGCACGCCTTCCGGCCTTGTTGCCGCCTCCATAGCTCATGCCTTCGGCCTTTTCGTGGCGGTTGCTGTTGGCGCCAACATCTCCGGCGGCCACGTCAACCCCGCCGTCACCTTTGGCGCCTTCGTCGGCGGTAACATAACCCTCCTCCGCGGAATCCTCTACTGGATTGCCCAGTTGCTTGGCTCCGTCGCCGCTTGCTTGCTCCTCAAGTTCTCCACTGGCGGCTTGGTGAGTGTTATATCCATCAATTCTTTATTTCTTTTACAGTTATATATATATATATATATATATATAAAACATGATTGTGATAAGTTTTTATGATTTTGTGTGCGGCCCGCATGTGTGCACTGTCGTTCATGGATGTGTGCATGCTGGCCCAAATACCGTGAATTCACACATGCATACTATATTGGATGTGTGCACTGTCGTTTACGGATGTGTGCATACCCGCATTTAGGTGTGTGCACAGTATATGTCCACATGTTTTTAATTTAAGGGTGTTTGCATGTGAATGGTATATATATATATATATATATATATATATATATATATATATGATGGTTGTTTTATACGTGCAGGAGACATCTGGGTTTGGACTATCAGGAGTGGGGGCTCTGAACGCTTTAGTGTTCGAGATAGTGATGACCTTTGGGCTAGTGTACACGGTGTACGCAACGGCCGTGGATCCAAAGAAGGGTAGTTTGGGAACAATCGCACCTATAGCTATTGGCTTCATCGTCGGAGCTAACATCTTGGCCGGCGGCGCCTTCACCGGCGCCTCCATGAACCCCGCCGTGGCTTTCGGCCCCGCCGTCGTGAGCTGGAGCTGGGACGCCCACTGGATCTACTGGGTTGGGCCGCTTGTTGGTGGAGGAATTGCTGGCCTTGTCTATGATCTCATCTTCATCCCTCAACACCATGAAGCGTTGCCCTAAACCGCAGTGGGGGGTAATAATGTAAATGCAATGGTTCTATTCACCCACGGCTATTCCCATTATGGTGTATTTTTTTTTAAAAAATTTTTATCTATCTATGTATGAATGATCTTTGAGTCAAGTTTTTATTTGAATTTTGGATATCTATTGTGTGATTGGTGGTGGGTGTAGGGCCCAGGGTCATTTCTGTAATTATGTATGTGTTCTATTCAAGATCTTCGATTTTGTTTTAATTCCAGATATTCCCATTCCCACTTTATTCTATTTTCTTGACTTCTTATTTATATTTATATATTGAAATTAATAATGTAAGTGAAAATATTGTTCCCAAAATGTTGAACCACCAACTCCAAGGACCCCCACATCTCGACCCGATAGAGCATCTAGAAAAATATAAATTATGGTAACTCAGCTCAAAACAAAGGCTAGGCATTTGCTTACTGCGCACAAGGAGCCCTCCTCACTTTAAGAAGTTGTTCCCACGTTATCACGGGTGAGACTCAATCTTGAGTCATTGTTTCCAAACTTCACCTCTCTGTGACCAACTGAGCTACCCATGCGGGCAATGTAGATAAAAATAGAAGATCAGAGCAAGTGTGCATACATACATGATACATCAAACAATTAATTATAATTTTTTTTTTAAAAAAAAACTATTTTTGCCATGAAATTCAAATTCAAGCCATGTTACAACTTGTACAATGAACCCTACCAAATTGAGTGTGATGAGACGACATGAAAATGATATTTTGTTGCATAGCTGCTAAACAGAATCAAGAGAAGGTAATATACCCACTGATGTGACAAGGAACAATATATGAAGTGGTGAAATGTGTCACAAAAATGGCCATAAAATGGGATATCATTTTACTACTTTTGGACCTAGAGAGTTGGTAACATTTTTATTATTTGTGTATGAATATGAAAAATATTACTATTGATTCATAATTTCTTTTTTTTTTTGGTCTTTTTGGAGAGAAATTTGACGAGATTTTCACTGCTGAAAATTTGCCATTTTCCGACCACCAAAAAGTGGTCGGAAATGGCCTTAATTAGGTCGGAAACGCCTGTTCCGACCTCTTTTCCGACCAATTTGGGTATTCGGAAAAATCCCCCTAGCTATTTCCGACTACCAGAGAGAGTTGTCGGAAAGAGTAACCTTAAGGCCGTCGGAGAAAATGACCAAGAGAATAGTTAGGCTGGTCCAGATTTTGCGACCACCAGTGGTCGAAAATTTCGACCACTTTGGTGGTCGGAAAATTGGACGCAGTCAATAAAAAAAATTCATTTCGCTATAGAGGAATCCTCTATAATGAAATGAATATATATATATATATATATATATATATATATATATATATATATATATATATATATATATATTGTTGCAAACTGGTAAGATATTTGTTGAAAAACATAAAATACACATTTCATATGCTTGAAGAGAATTCATTCATCAATATACCGTTGAAAATTTAAAACAAATCAAAATATGGCATTTCTATTAGTCTCTTAATTCTAAATGTATAAACTGGAAAGACACAAGTTCCCAGGACACATTTGCAGTATGGAAGCAGCCTGTTCCATCATCAGTGTTAAAACATGAAGGTCTAGATCAGAAACAACATTTTCCTCGTCAACATTAGGGGCATCAGTACCATCAGCAACAAGAATTTCATTAACCTATGGGGTTGGTAGCTGCATTTGAGGTGTTGATGCCAAACCATTATCTGAATATCACATCCAGAGAATACCAAAAGATCAAACAAAACAAAGAGAACAATTACCTTACTTGAAAGTTGATCTTATCAGAAACACTAAGAATTATGGCCATTGCAGAATCTTATGAAAGCAAACATTACACAAACAAAATTACCATTCGATAACTCATGAAAAATGTAGCATGAAAGATTCCAACACTTGAAGTGATTCACAAGTTTCTATAGGAATGAATACCAAGAGATCAAATAGGTAAAAAGCAGCATATATATATACTTACCATGATGACTGTTTGAACTACCATGATTTGGTGATGAATTAGATGCTAACTCTTGATTTGGTGATGAATTGGATTCTGAAACTCTAAATGTCAATTAAAATATGAAATACAAAGAAAAAGATAAACAAAATTGAAAGAAACCACTGACCTGGTTTCATTCTAGCTTGGATCTTTGAATGGAAAAACGGGTAAACCCATCAGGGTAACGACTCTGCTTTTGCATATAAGGCTGCTATAGGATGAACCATAATAGTACTATTAAACCATAATACTAACAAAATGGGGCAAAAGAAATAAGATGATTACTTTATGGATCATTTACAGCAAGATAAAACTCACATCAGATCCACATTGAGTCGAATCTGGAACACAAAAACTGAACTATGAATTCAATTTTACCAAAAAATGAAAAAAAAAAAATCAGAATACCAAACAGAGTGAGAAGGTAAATTAATAACTACCATATGCATAGTTTGATGTTGCAGCAGCAGGAGAAATGAGATGGAATCAATTTATGTGTCAATAATCTGCAAATTATTGAAAAGATTATAGCTAGGCCAACAAAACAAGATATAATGAGAATAAGAAGAAAGCGTTTATATAGATACCTTCAAAACAAGTAGCAGCTTAGATGCATCCCTCCTAAGTCCTAATTCCACGGACTAGGGAGCTGGGCATCTCTAAATGCTGGTGTACCGCCTGATGCAGCTGGAGAGGGAGGGGAGGCAACATAATTTGTCCCTGATGTGGAAACTGTGGGTGGATTTGAAGGGAGTCCTTGTTGCACAGTGCATGCAAAACGTGATGGGCTACCTGTTACCCCCATAGTAGTTCGTGAAGAGAATGGGACCTGTTCCAAAGAAGACCATTGAATGGAGATAAATAATTGTTGTATATCAAACCAGTCAAGTGCATCACACTAATTAACTAACAATTTGAGGTCACATTAAGAAAAGAAAAATGTTGAGCAACTGACTCTGAGAATGTAATAAGAATAATCAAATGCCTCCAAAAATGAAACCTAGCAACAATATCAGGAAAGTCTAAAAGCAAGAATTCATAATGCCTCCATGTTGAAGATGAGTAAATTTGAATATCCTCCATCCACCCCCACCCCCACCCCCCTTTTTCTTTGTCTCTTTGATGCAAAAACTCAGATCTTGATATGTAAACAAAATTCATATATGCATTGTCCTTTTGCACTTTCAACCATGAATATTTTGAAATAATCCTCACAGATTGTAATGACCAATTAATCCCCCTTATTTCATGCTTAGTGCTTGAAGACAAGAAAAGTGAACAGTTAAGTCCTCTTTTAAAAGTGGACTTACTGTATTACGCACAGGTTTCCTATGTTGAGAGTCTGGAGTTGGTGATGTGCTGTTCATACGAAGCAAGTTGCGGGGGAATGCACATTCTGGTTGGAAACATCATCACCTACCTACGCCTCCTTCAACTTCATGCTGAGTCCATCTGACCCAATTCTAGGTGTGTTAAGTCTAAAACATATTCATCATCTACATATTCCTAAAGTATAAACTACAAACACATCTTAACTGTTAAAAGTAAAATTCACTCTAAAACATATTCATCATCTACATTTTTATAGCATATATATAATCCTCATCTTTTTATAGCAAAATGTATGTATCAATACAATTAAGTAGAAAGTCATACATACTGTTTTCTGGATTCTCTATCGTAGATAGCCTGCCTGAATGCTTGATAGATCTAGAAGCTAAGAAGATACTTTCCCCAATTCGAAGTGAAGGCTAATGCCCTAATTATATATTTTGAATCAGAGAGCTTCGTTCTTTTATATCTCCCTGATTATATTAAAAATAACTAAAAATTATATATTATAAATAAAGAACCCTAACAATAGATTAAGAAATAAAGAACCCTAACCATTATGTCGTCGATCAAGGAGGAGAAGGCGCCGTCGATCGAGGAGAAGAGCAAGGGAGGAGAAGGCGTATCCTTCGAGGAAAAGAACTGGAGAGGAGAAGGTTGAAATCTGCGATTGAGGAGAAGAGATAAGGAGGAGAAGGTTGAAATCTGCGATTGAGGATAAGAGGTAAGGAGGAGAAGGTTGAAATCTGCGATTGAGGAAAAGAGGTAAGGAGGAAAAGGTTTAAATGAGCGATTGAGGAGAAGGTTTAGATCGTCCTGCAATCTAGCGCAAGAGTTAGAAAAATATATATAATGGATTTTTTGTTTCGAAGAGTATATAATGGATATTTATATACTGGCCAGCTGCGCAAAGGGCTAAGTGTTTTTTAGGCCTGTTTGTGATTTGCGAAAAAAAAACTTCCGACCACCGTATTTGGTGGTCGAAAAATGAGATTAATTTAAAAATTTAGCGAATTTTTTCGATTACTATATAAATAGTAGTCGAAATTACCGACCACTTAGTAAAAGTGGATGGAAATTCCGACCACTTCCCGACTACCATAACACTCGGACGGAAAAACGAAAAAAAGTCAATTTTTGCGATCAAATTTTTAAGTGGTCAAAAAGAGGTCGGAAAAATGATAATTTCCAGCAGTGTTTACCAAATTTTGTTATATAACTTGTGGATGACCAAAGTTTATAATAAAATGTCCACAAATAAATAAAGCCTCCATGAACCTTTTAATCTACTGGCACCAAGTTGCTCTTTCATATGAAAAGTTGTGGGTTCGAGCTACAGTGAATGCGATATTGACTCTTTTTGCTTCAGTAGCAAGCTAGGTTAAGGAAAAAAAAAAAAAAAAAGCCTCCATATACCTTCAAATAACTTGTGTAGCATTTAACTGCAAAAAAAAAAAAAAAAAAACTTGTGTAGCATTTATGACCAAAGTTAAAGCCTCTTCCCATTTTTTTCTAACCAAAATAGCACAAATTAAACATGTTTGGATATATCAATCAAAGGGTTTGTTTAATAACATTTTAGGTTAACTTTTAGCTATTTAACCCACTTTAATTATTTGAGGCAAATTATATCATGTACCATTGGGTCCATTGGCCATGTTACATCGTAGACCCAAGTTATAAAAATAATATTGTGAAATGGTTGGATATCAATCAAGGTTTTGTTAAGTAAACTAACTTTTTAGGTTAACATTTACCTATTTAACCCACTTTAGTTGTTTAAAGCAAATTATATCATCGACCCAAGTTATAAAAATAATATAATATGGTAGATACATAAAAAAAAAAAAAAAATCATGTACATAAAAACTATAAGTTCATAAACATGACACCAATTGACCAACTATCCTTTAAATATATTATTCTTTATTTCTTTTTGCATAAGTAAAATCAATATATAAAAACTAATTTATTAAAATTATCTTGTTGAGATATTTTAATTGACACATATATTGATATATAACTATCGAGCTATTTAACCAAGTCAATAATTAAAATAAATGTTTGTTAATAGATTTTCCTTAGTGATGAAGACGTTTTTTCACGTATCCATCAAGTATCAAATTACAGTATAGAGTTTAGATATCGTTCCACTGGAGATGGCTCTTGTAATGACAAATAAGACAAGTAAAACAAAGGATCGGGACTTGGTTGATTCAAGCTAATATGCCAAATATTGTACTAAAGATTAGGGAATTAAATCAAGGCATAGGGTAAGTGAGATGCACAAAAGTGTCCAAATACCACTCTCGTAGTTATTTGGACTTGCAATGTCACATTGAACTCCACTCTCGTGACAATTCAACCCAAGGATGCCCAAACAAGAACACAAGACAAAGATTCCCCTTAACACCCAAAATACTCTCGTATTGGGTATTAAGTGTGTGAATGTGTGGCTAGTGTACAAGCTCTACTCTCGTAGCAACAAACACACTCCAAATCAAGCATATAATTGGGATCCAACAATCATACACAAATTTCTCAACAAACTCATTTCACACAACAACCCTAGACCACCCAAATAATCCTCTTTATGCAATACAACTCAAATAGGCATCAATAGCAAGAAATCAAACCAAATCCTAGTCCCAAAACACTTAGCTACTCATAATATAACAATAGATATACAATATTAAGGAGTAATTGAAAGCATAGATGAAAAGTAAAGATAAGAGATAATAAGAAAACTTCTCTATTGAATCTTTGAAATCCAAGATTGCAATGTGTTATTGAGCTTGAAAATGGAAAGGAACAAGAAATCTACACTAATCTAAGCTATACTAGAGCTAAACATAACTAAGGAATGAAAGGGAAATGAAAGATGTGTTTTTGGGGTCAAAAATCCCCTTTTAAATGAGCAAAAACGGGTTGGTATGTGTTGAAGAGGGCTGGCCATGGGTGCGGCTTCACCCGTGGCCAGAAATGCAGTTTACACTGCCTAGTGGCCACAGTCAGTGTGCATTGCCTGTGCACTGAGTTCGTCTTCTAGGCAAGTTTTCACCCTCAAAACCTTTGAATTAGCATTTGTGGTCTTCATCAAAGTTGTAGCCCTTGAAGTTAGCTTTCCAATGATATAAAATCACTTGATTTGGACACTCCTAGACCGAGATATAGTCAAAATACGGAGACAGCGCCAATCTGGGCGAGAAATGCCACCTTACTATCTTTTGCTTTGCCTTTGCATTGAATTGCCTATATCATCAAGACTGTTGGGGGAAATTGCAACGCCAACGCGCGATCTGGAAGCCTTTTAAGACGCACGGACACTACGGATGTATGGTAGAAAGAAAATCTGTGCCGTGTTATAATAACACTACCTTAAAAGCGTTATTTGCCCGGTAACGGTGCAGTTAGAACCCTGGCACGCTTTCGACAGGCTACACAGACCTACTACGGATAGCTTGCACTAGCAACCACGTAGTCGAACCTCACTATTGCTCAGATTTTGTAGACAAACAAGAGAGGAAGAAAGAAAAGGAAAGTATTTCCTGTTTTGTGCATTTGGACACAAATGGCTTGCCTCCTTATATACTGTAGATGTGTGAGGAATTAAAACAATAGCTTTTCATCTCATCCACTCACTATCTAAATAAAAGGGGAGTGGTAATAAGAAAATCCCATGCAGCCACACATTGTACACAAATCATGGATGTCTATGTTGACTATCCTAATATTGAGCTGCCACTTTGAATGTATCTCCAACAATCCCCCACACATTCAAAGTAGAATGCTAGAAAGGAAAACGATAATGTCTGAGCAATACAAATGAGCTGATCTTAATGTCAGTGTTTGAGAACTTGAAATGACACGTAGTGACACTGAGTAATTTTCTTCCCGATAGTGATATGAATCTTGAACTCACCGGTTATATAAATTTTGAACTCGAATGCACACGCCAACTCAAAAAGCAGGTTCTACAAAAGTCAAACTCTTTGACTTCTTATGAACACCCTTAGTATTAAAGAGTGTTACGTCTGTCTCAAATATGGACTTCTACCCTGTCAAAGTCTATCACAAAACAGACTTTTAAATGCTCCCAACTATCCCCCACCATTAAAGGGATTTAGGCTGATGCTATCATTGCCTGATAACGATCAAAACAAATTTTCATGCCAGTGTATAAAACTTGAACTGTCATATAGTGACATTAAGTACTTCTCTAGACGGGAGTGAATTTGATCTTGAACTCATCGAATAGACAAAGTTTGAACTCAACGCACTTAATTTGCTTTGGTCGCCTTGAATCTCATGAGGTCATACTCACGACCCTGAGATATCCCCTGTTAGGTCTATTCTAGGATAGACCTTCAACTCTGTCAAGTCTACCTCATCGCAAACCACCATGATCGGCTACAGAGTATTTATGGGTCCCAAACCCATTTCCCTTGATGTGTCAAGGACGGCCTTTCTGTTTAGGCCCTTTGTGAAATGATCTGCAATTTTCCTTTCAGATCTCACAAAAACCATTGTGATTACCCCATTTATTATTAGCTGCCGTACAGACTCATGTCTGACTCTTATGTGTCTACGTTTCCCATTGTAGACATCGTTATGCGCAACACAAATGACAGTTTGTGAATCACAATGTGGTGAAGGTGTTGGACACTCCCACAATTGCACGGTTATCACCATGTTTCTTAGCCACTCAGCTTCTTGGGATAACCCCATTATCTTTCATAAGAGGCGGTTAGCCCTTTTCTACTCAAGTTAGGGATCTCTTTAAGTCTATCTCAACATAGACCATGGTAGCCCTTTTCCACTCAAGTTAGGGATCTCTTTAGGTCTATCTCAACATAGACCATCCCAATTGAGTATAAGGCACCAAGAGCACTTTGTACTCATGTCATTATGCGGTGAATTCATTAGGTTTGTCTCAACAAAACCACCCTTTCTCAAAGAGTTATGAATTCATTAAGAGCTGTAGCTCAACCTCACATGCGGTGAATTCATTAGGTTTGTCTCAACAAAACCACCCTTTCTCAAAGAGTTATGAATTCATTAAGAGCTGTAGCTCAACCTCACAAGTACACACACTGTCGGAATGACCAACTAGTGTACTATTTTGTAACTCTTTTCATGGCTTCGTTTGACCACAGAAGTGGGATCTACCACGAATTCATTACCACTTGGACTTCAAGTCCTTCCAATGAGTCAACGACTAATCCTCATAATTAGCCCTCAAGTAAGTTGATTCTCTTGACCAAACTTACATGCACTTTGACGAGTACTTCGTTTACTCGTAAATAATCCCTTGAGATTTTCATGTTTAACATGAAACATTCTCTTTCATCATTATTCTCAATACCACAGAGAAACTTTTGATGAAAATATAAGGAGTTTATTACCCCCACAATGCAACACTTACAAATAATTTTGTCAAACGTATTTGATCTCTTACCCAGACTGATATTTGGTGCCCAACTTTAGCTCCTTTGTAGACTGAGTTTTGCCGACTTACTTTGTGGACCATTATAGCAGCTTTGCACTCTGCCTGATACATGCTCAACAGTTGAATATATTTCAACAAACTTGGTTATCTCAATTGATCACAATTACCCTTTAACTAGGAATTATAGGTATTTCAATATGACTCAACCAAGAGTTTAAATAATATATATACAAATGCTCATTGTTAGTAAGCCATAGAAATAATGTTGTCCACATGCTACATCAAGTTGAACAACATAATCACAAATTTCACATCATATTCTTATAAGAAATTAATCTCATACAAAAGGAATATGTTTAAGTTCATATTTATTCGGAATATCTCTCAA